GGTGGCGAAGTACATGGCGACTACATCAGGCATCGGGCTTGTGCTTGGAGGGACTCGGCCAGTTGAGCTGACTGACCTCTGTGACTCTTCTTACGCTGACGACGTGGAGACTCAGCGCTCGACCCAGGGCTACTGTTTCAGTTTGGGAGCTGGGGCTGTGACGTGGAGGTCCACACGGTCGTCGTCGGTGGCTTCGTCCAGTTGCGAGGCAGATCTACGCCAGTGCTATGGTTGCTCTGGAGCTTCGCTGGTTGTCTTACTCACTGACCTTTGTGAGCGACCTCGCACTGCTCCGACCTTGTTCGCTTACAACAAGGCCATGATTCTCTTGTGTCGCGAGCCTCGACTGGAGACCAGGGTGAAGCACATCTACGTCCGGTACTTCCTCCTGCGTGAGCTACAGCGACGCGGCCAGGTGCGCCTGGACTTTGTGGCCTCATAGGCCAACATGACCTCTTCACCAAGGCCTTGGCGCTTGGTGATCACCACCGGTTCTGTGTGCAGTCAGGGCTTGTTGAGGCAGGTCCTCGGTTGCTGTAGCCTTGTTGCTTGCTCTGCTTGTTGTGCTTTGCTATTATATATCCTAGTGAACTGTTGAACTGGCCTTGTGGCCGCTTGCTTGTGCTCGGAATTTGTGTGGTGTCCTTAAGATCCACCCTGAGCTTGCTTTGCTTCTTGCATTGACTGGTCTTGTGACCGTTTGTTCACTCTGCTTGCTTTGATGTCCCTCACTTAGCCTATGGGGGTGTGTCAAATGTTGATATTTATGATAGGCTGTAGTGAGGTGCTCCTTAGTGAGTACAACTCAGTTAGGGTTTGCTATTTGTATCACCCACATTCCTAATCTCATCGTTCCGTTGCATTCCTACTTTGAGAGATGGTTGCGATTGGTGCGGGGCCGACTCGGGAGTGGTTTGGTGCGACGAAGTAGGCCGAACGTGAGGGTCACGTGACCCTCGGGATGGCCTCGCTAACGAGTGCCTCAGTAAGAATTTGTAAATCCTACATTTACCCTCACACCATCTCCAGTAAGCTCCAGCTTTGTCCAAAGACATGGTATTCTATTATAATATTCTGGCCTTTTGTGAATGGGTGCGGGCGGGGTATGTGTGCTGCGTGGCATGAATGATACTTCCACTTGTCAGTTCATGGTTAAAAGTGGCATTGAACTCTACATGACAGTCTATAACTTGTACATATTGTAATGCTCGAACCTGGCTAATTGGAGTGCCATAGGGTTGCACTGATCATGTAAAAAAACATATATGAAGAAAACATACACAGAATGTGCAGAGAAAACATATATGAAGAAAACATACACAGAATGGCATGTATTAGCTCGGTTCACCTTCACCCCTGCTACATACGCTGTACAGCGCTTTGAGTAGGGTATCTTGAATCCTTCGGCTTGGGAACCAGAAAAAAAATCACTGCACTTCTTGACGTCTTAGTAAAACGTAGGTGCCACCCGTATGTTGCCATTGCTGCCGCAATTGACGCCGCCGTTGATGATACCGCTTATATTGTAACCCGCTGCGTTTCAAGCTGTCCGTGTTACCCTGCACCTGCTTCTTTCTGAGGGTTTCGGATGATAGCAGAAGTTAAAACCCGAGTCCCAAATTGCGGGGCGCGCGGGTCAAGTTTTTAAAACATGCGCGGGTCAAGTTTTTAAAACATGAACGCGATCTTCTTACAAACTCGAAAGAAGTGCACCTGCAGAGTGGGACTTTCGAGCTCCCACAAGGGGAAACGACCCAAAATGGCTGGGGGTGGCGAAAATTACGAATTTGGCGAAAAAGATGCTCTCGTCACAACCCAAAAACTGAACCCCCTCCCCCTCAACCTTTTAAAACATGAACAACTTGGGCTGCGGGCTCTAAGCAGCAAACGTACAGCAGTCTGTAAGTGAACGAGAACCGTTCGGGCCGTCCGGCGGTGAACGGAAATCGTTTGTCAGATAGATGGACACCGCCGGTCGGAAAAAAAACGACTTTGTTGTTGGTGCATGCACACCCGTTGTCAGTGAAGGACGCGGCCTATTGGTGAACGGAGACCGTCTGTCAGTGAACAGACGCCGTCTGTTGGTGACCGGACACCGTCAGTCAGGGAACGGACTCCGTCTGTCAATGAACGGAGTGCACGGATGCCGTCTGTCAGTGAACGGAGACCACCGATCCGCATCGTGATAGGCATTTTGACCCCTGCGATGGTGTCACGTCGTTACAGTAACACTTCTCATAAAAGCAAAGGACCAGGTGAGTCACCGTCAGCCGACGCGCGTCGCGGCTGTCAAGTCCCCACGCGTACGCGCTTCCGCCGCCTTTGCCGCTGTTGCTTCTGGAGGAAGGAGAACTCGCTTCGGGGCTTTCGGATAGCCCGTCCTCTTGTTGACGTCCATACGCGTTATAAATGCCCCCTTGTGGTTCGGACGCATCTGGCGACCGTGTCGCGTTTGCCGCGGCGTAGAACCGATTTTGGCGGATCTCCCTGTGCAGCAACTTCGCATCGTGGCCGTTGCGGAGTTGCACGAGGAAATCTTGACCATCCGTCACTTCAACCAGCCCCGTCGCTGGAGATTTTTTTAGCTCCACGCGGAAGCCCAACGCGGTGAGCTTTTGCTGGAGCTGGCTCAAAAGCTTTACCTTCCCCATGATTGCTTTGAACGAGAGGTTTGCGACAGCGCCGAAATAGGGGCCATAGAGAACTGTGAGAGTCGGAGGTTCTCTCGAGGAATCAACCGAGATGTTAGTAAAATCAGCGACCGCCATGGATATCCGTACTCACAATCTATGGCGTTCCTGGAATAACTGGGAGAAAGGCAATCGTGATCCTGAACTACACGGGGGATCTGTGAACTAAATGGGAAGTTGATTACCATAACAGGGAAATCTCGTCTCTGCGTAGACACAACATAAGTTGGTGTTCTTGGATACATACATGTGTTCCGGGTTAGAGGCCTTCGCTAAAAGAGTCCTTTTTCCCCCTTGAGTAGAGTTTTCCGATGTCGCCAAGGTTTGGCCCGACCCCTATAGTCCCTTTTTTTACGGGAAATTTTGCAGCTTGACCGAATCATTGCACGAATCAGCTCCGCAGCCAATCAGAGGCTCCATATCGAACCAGCCCAACATTCAGGGAAAACGATATATAAGGGATCATCGATTCGATATTTAACTTTGGGATTGTAAGTAATTGTTTCTCTTGACCGTGATTACTTTTCAATCCTGTCGCACGGTCTCCAGCGCTCTCGACGATGACATCTCATTTATCTCGCTTACAGGGTAAAATTGAAGTTTTTACCTTGTATTCGACCCCCGAACCATAATTGATTTTGTTTTGTTTTGCCCGTTAGTCATGCGGACATTGATCAGTGCGGGGAACCGTGCAACGAGAAGTTGAAGCAAGCGTGGTCCGAATCTACGTACAAGAAAACAAAAAAGTATCATTTCCACTCTTCGTGCAATTTTCTTGAATGGGACTAAAAGTATCGCGTTCTGCTCGTGGTTTGAAGGTTTCGCACATAGTCCGCGCGCGGCGTCTCATTTCGTCGGACTATAAACAAGAACACTTGTACATGGACCGTACCAGTGGGGGGTCGGGACTCGCAAGGAACCCGCAACCAAAACGTGTCGACGCGACGCGATGTGGGTGGTTGTGGTGTTCTCCGTCCCGTCTGGGCTTGGGACATTGCCAATGGTGATGTGCGATGCGATGCGATGTGAATGGTGGTTGTTCTTCGTCCCGTCTGCGCGTGGAACAAATCACATCAGCAATGATGCAATGCAATGCAATGTGATGGGCCTCCCACTGGCCATGCCATGGCATTGACTCTGAAGTTCCGAACTGACATTGGAGAACCACCGCCACCACCACCATGACCACATCACCAACCGAAGTTTGGGGGTCTGGTCTGGTGCTGTGCTAAGTTATTTCTCTTGACCGAAACTGACCAGGCATGTGGTTTCACCAATAAAAAAGAGTCCGTGAACATGTCAGGGAGTGGAGGAGAAGGGGGTGAGACATTTCATGCGGAAAACATTGTGTACAACGCTAGCTGCCGACATCCAAAGCACGATCTATTCTCATGCCATTTTCATGTGAATGATGGCGCCAAGCAGCACGACCCCCCAGCAGCTTCAGGTACAAGTAGAACCCGTTGTACTCGAATCAATTAAGATCCTGATTCTTCTTAGTCGTCTTAGCCCTCAGTCCTCTTGAATCCAATACTGGTCGTCGAGGGTGCTTCTTTGTACTGCCCCATTGTGTGGTGAGTAACCTTTTCATTACAGCTGTTTCCCCAGCTGGAATAAGTGTCGTCTTCCCTCAAGGGCATCAACTTACGGTCCAGTAATGCGCTGCGCGGCGTCAGGCGCGGCGGTGATGTCAATGATAAAACTCGGTAAATGAATCTTGGTTAAATCCTATTCCAGAGGGCGATGCACGTTCAGCCAAAGCTTTCTGTTGGTGTAGGAAGTGTGGGAACATTTGGCAGCTTCATGCTTTTATGACAGTTTTGAAAAAGACCCCACCATTGGTTTCGTCTTGTTCGTTGGGAATTTTGTGGCTCTGCTACAGTCCAACGAAACAATTGGAAGCTCATTCTGCTGCATCGCATTGCGTGTCCGTCGATCAAGGACCCAGCGTGCTCACACGCTCTTAAAATCAAACCTCTTGGATATGGTGGATCTACTTTGCTTGAGGAGCACTGGGTCTTCATTTGTTTTCTAGTTACATATGCCAGCCTTTCCCTGTACAGGCATTGACTTCCAGTTGCATGATCACACACCCCTGTATTAGTCGCTTTCTCTCTTTATTGCTCCACATACGGTGTCAGGTTATTGCATGCTCGCATGTACTTGCATATAACGTTTTATTGGAGAGATGCACAACTGTACAACAAGAAATATGCTGAACCACCATCCCCCACATAAGATGATGCAGCCTCCCGTGTGCATTTACGAAAATGACGTCATCAATGCAGCTGAGACATACCAGGCCCGTTCCTAAGCTCCACCTGACACAAATGCAACCTTTAGTTTGCCAAATTTATGCATCAACTCTGGAGGAGGCTCAAAGTGTATTCCATTCAAAGGAATATCCATATCCATCGAGTACAGCAAGGAGCCCTCCTCGTAAGATTGCTGCATGGGAAACAAGGCACAAAAATTGAAAGGGGCGGAGGAAGGGTGGGGTTGGAAGGAAAGAGGGAGGGGAAGGGGTACTACACGCTCCCGTTAAGATAATTTCCATCACCTCCTGATTCTATTCCACCACCAATCACTCGCTCACCTCATTGTATAATCCCAGTAGCTTGCTCCCAGCATTAGGCCACATTCCTGGCTCTGTGTCATCAGCTGAGAATGTGGGAAGACACCAGCTGTAATATTCGGCCCGGGTCAACAGGCTGAACACATTCACGATTTGATTAGACAGGAATGTAGCTAGATACCTGAGATCGCAGCGTTCGTGACTGTACGTTGAGATGGCCTGTTCAGACTGGCGAGCGAATGCGACTGCACGATTTTAAAATTGTGTTGCAAGGTCAGGATTTTCGCACTGCAGTTCCGCGAAAAATAATATGGGGTAAAACGTGGTTTCGTCCACGATGTTCGCTGAAGCTCGCCACGTCCCGAATTGGAAGGCCCGAAGCTCGAGTCGGAAAACCCGCGGCTCGGGAAATTATATTCGGGATGACACAAATACCGGAAGACATGAAGCCAGGAATGCGCCCTTAGTGGGATGATCATCTTTCGATATTTTTTAAGCTCCCGAGTCGCCCACAGTGCAGTTCAACCTCCACAGCACCACCACTATACAATCTCACACCTGGTTCTACCACCATTGTCCCACTCACCTCATCATACAACTCTAAGAGCTTGCTCCCAGCATTAGTGGGATGAGCATCTTTCGAGATGTTGAATGCTCCTGAATCCCCCACAGTGCGGTTCAACCTCTGCAGCACCACCCCCACGTCCTCCGCTAGATTCTCAAACCGCCCGACGAAATCGAATCGGATCTTGTCGAACCGACACGCGTCGATCTGCGGCTGGACGTGAGACTCCATGCGTGCGCGGCGCTGCTCCCTCATGAGTCTCAGCAGCCACGCGAATTCTCCAAAAGAGAATGAGTCATTCCCTTGTTTTGCGTTCACTAGCCGCCGGAAGGGAACGAACTTGCGGAAAAACATCTGAAGGGCGCAGAGGGAGGAGGAAGGGGAGAAGGGAGGGATGACGAGAGGAGGGCGAGGGAACACGCACGTGTCTCAGCAACCATGCGAATCCCTAAAGGAGAGCAGATCTTCCGCTTCCTTCGCCTTGGCTAGCTGCCGGAAGGGGATGAACTTGCGGAAAATATCTGAAGGGCGCAGAGGGAGGAGGAGGGGCAGGAGGGGGAGGAGGAGGGGGATGAAAGAGGGGGGGAGAAGGGGAAGGCTGCACGTGGGACTCCATGCGTGCGCGGCGCTGCTCTCTCATGAGTCTCAGCAGCCAGGCAAACTCCCCGAAGGTGAACGAGTCATTCCCTTGTTTTGCGTTCACTAGCCGCCGGAAGGGAACGAACTTGCGGAAAAACATGAGAAGGGCGCAGAGGGAGGAGTGGGGGAAAGGGGAGGCAGAGGTTAGAGGGGAGGGGGATGGAGAGAGGAGGGCGCGGGGTGGCAACACCAGCGTGCTTGTTGAGATACACCGATGCCAGGCGCGTGAACGGGGTGCGCACAAACGAGACACCAAGCAACACCCACCCACCCTGTTCCAGAACTGCCGGGAGTAAGGAGGCCCACCCCCCACGTGCTTGTTGAAATACACCGACGCCAGCTGCGTATACGGGTTTCGTCCTTTCCCCCCCCTCCCTACACGATCCACCCATCCACCCACCACCAACCACCCACCACCAACCATCCACCAACACCCACCCACCTTGTTCCAGTCTCGAATAAGGAGGCCCGCCCCCCACGTGCTTGTTGAAATACACCGACGCCAGCCGAGTATACGGATTGCGCACAAATGAGAACTTAAAGAAGTCCGGGCGGGTCAAAAGCTCAATCGCGCGGTGCTCTGGGAAGTGGTAGGCGAGGGTATAAACATCTTCCCTCCCTTCCCTTGCATTAACGCTTTCCCTTCCCTTCCCTTACCCATCCCTACATGATACATAAACCCACCAGAACACACCCACCTTGTTCCAGAACTGTCGGGAGTAAGGAGGCCCGCCACCAACATGCTTGTTGAGATACACGGACGCCAGCCGGGTGTATGGATTGCGCCCTTTCCCCCCCCTCCCAACACGATCCACCCACCACGAACCACCCACCCTGTTCCAGAACTGTCGGGAGTAAGGGGGACCCCCACCAACATGCTTGTTGTGATATACCGACGCCAGCCGGGAGAACGGGTTGCGTACTTCCCCTCACTTTCCCTGCTCAACCCACCCACAAACTCCCACCCACCTTGTTCCAGAACTGTCGGGAGTAAGGAGGCCCGCCACCAACATGCTTGTTGAGATACACCGACGCCAGCCGAGTATACGGGTTCCGCACAAACGAGAACTTGAAGAAGTCCGGGCGGGTCAACAGCTCAATCGCGCGGTGCTCTGGGAAGTGGTAGGCGAGGATGCGCAGGCCTGAGCGTGCCTTGTCGTGGGTGAGAAACACGTCTGACACGTTCGCCTGGCCCTGCTGTTCTCGGAACCACGTCTTCCACCCCGTGCAGGCCACCTTGGGGACGAAGCAGTAGATGGCCTTGAGATCCTCTGTGGGGAAGACAAAAGGGAGAGGCAGGGGAGGAGGAATCAGGGAAATTGAAGTAAAAGAGAGGATGCGGAGAGGGATTAAGGGAGATCAGAAGTGGTATGCGAGGATGCGCTGGCCCGAGCGCGCCTTGTCGTGGGTGAGAAATACGTCTGACACGTTGCTCTGTCCTTCGAAACCACGTTTTCCACCCCGTGCAGGCGACTTTAGGCACGAAGCAATAGATTGCTTTGAGATCCTCTGGGGGGAAATAAAGGAAGAAGAGACAGGGACGGGCCAGAGGCGAAGTGGGTTGGGGTTGGAAGGGTGAGGGGTGAGAAGCATCATTAACCCAGTCACTCGGTGCTCTGGGAAGTGGTAGGCGAGGATGCGCAGGCCTGAGCGCGCCTTGTCGTGGGTCAGAAACATGTCTGACACGTTCGCCTGGCCCTGCTGTTCTCGGAACCACGTCTTCCACCTCGTGCAGGCCACCTTGGGGACGAAGCAGTAGATGGCCTTGAGATTCTCTGGTGGTGGTTATGGTTGCGGGGGAAGGGGTGGGAGGGGGCAAGAGGGGTTGACGAAGACAGTCACACAGGACACGTTCGCCTGGCCTTGCTGCTCCCGAAACCACGTCCTTCATCCCATGCAGGTGACTTTAGGCACAAAGCAATGGATGGTTTTGAGACGTCTCAAAACAAAGCAATGGATGGTTTTGAGATCCACTGGTGGTGGTGTGGGTGAGGAAGAACGGGAGGGGAAACGAAAGGGCCAAGAAGAAACATTCACACACGACATGTTGCTCTGCCCCCTCGCTCACCGCCCTAGGCCCACTATTGCACGTGGCAGCACCGTAATTACACTCAGCTACACGGGTTACCACACAACAGCCCCCCTCTCTCTCACCATCCACTATGAACTGCCGCAGGAACCGCTGCTTCCCGAACGACTCAGCCTTGGGAGCCTCACAGACAGTTGGCGCAACAGAGAAAGGCACTCGCCGCACTGAGAACGACCCCTTCTCTGCAGCACCCGCAGCGTCTTCACCACCCATTGCTGCCTCTGCCCCCTCTGCTCCCTCCCCTTCCACTCTCCCATCCGCTCCCCCTGCTCCTCGACTCCCCCTCTCCCCCAACCTCCTTCCCCCTTCCAGCCCCAGGATCCCCCTGGCGGTCCCGGCGGCGGCCTGGGCTCGGAGGAATCGGGCCTCGAGAGACGCGCGGGTGTGGATGAGCGCCGCTGCTGCCGACACCACCCACGCCTCCGCCACCTGCAGCTGCGCGCACAGCGTCGTGTTGAACTCAACACTGCTGCTGCTGTTGCCAGCTGAATCAGCCTTCTTGCTACTGCTCTTGCCTGAGAGGCCAGAAGCCATGCCCTCCCCACCTTTGTCCTTCGATCCCTCCCCGCTTCTCTTCTCCCTCTTCTCTTCGGATAACAACCTCCTCCTTCCCTGCTGCTTCTTACTCCGTTTCACCACCTCTCCCTCGCCCTCCTCTCCTTCCTCCCCTTCTCCGTCTCCTGCTCTGCCCATCTCACCCTTCCCCTCTCCACCCCCCCGTCCCCCCTCCTCCCCCTCCCCCTCCCCACCCCCGTCCCCGTCCTCCTCCCCATCCTTCCCCCGCCCCCTCTCCTTCCCCCCTATTTCCCCAGCGCCACCAGTAGGGGAGGGGCAAGCCTTTAGGCGCGCAAGAGTGACGTCTAGCAGCAGGGGGGCGCGGAGGGGGTGGAAGGTGCGTGCCACAGCAGCTGCATCTGCCGCCCAAAACGCACCCATTGTGAAATCCACCCGCCTCCCCTCCGCTGTGTGCCCTTCTTGCCCCCCCCCTCCGCCTCCTCTGCCTCCTCCTTCACCTCCTCTCCCTTCTCCTCCTGCTGCTCCTCCTGCTGTTCCGGCTGTTGCTGCTGTGCCTACTCCTGCCCCTCCTGCTGTTGCTGCTGCCCCTGCTTCTCTTTCAGGTGCCACCTCCCCCAGATACTGCCAAGCCAGCGTGCGCAGCGTGCAGTTCAGAAGGGGGTCCTCTGGACAGCCTGGACAGCTGCCAGGTGGCAGCTCCTCATTGGCCTGCGGATTGGGCCATGGGATGCGCTAAAAAAATATGGGCATTTAACTTGACAAGTAGACAGCATCACTGAAAGCACAATAAAAGGGCCTGATTTGAACTAAATTGGATATCTGTGGTTTAAACCACTTGACCACATGCTTTGCTCCCTCTACCCTCCCTCGCCTCTCTCACCTCGAGATACACAGCGGCGATGGAGTGGGGGAGCCTAGAGAGCGCGGGTTGGGACCCCATGATGGCCGCCACGCCTGCGATTCCTGAGTCAAGTCAACCTCCTCCCTTCAATCACCACCCCCCCGCTCCTTGCTCTCACCTCAAGGTACACAGCGGTGGAGTGGGGGAGCCTAGAGAGCGCAGAGGCGGGTTGGGACCCCATGATGGCCGCCACGCCTGCTTTGTCTGAATGATCTTAACCTCCTCCATTCCCCAACCCCCACCCTCCTGCTCCCTCCTGCTTCCTCCACCCTTCTCGCCCCCCACCCTCCCTCACCTCGAGATAAACGGCAGTAGTACGGAGGAGTCTGGAGAGGGCGGAGGCGGGGTGGGCGCGCATGATGGCCGCCACGCCTGCTGACGGCCGCACCCCGCCCAGGCAGGCCGCCTCCAGCCGCCGCGCAGTGCAGACCTCTTCGTTTGACTGGTAATGGGAAGGGAAAAAAAGGGGAGGGAAGAGTGGGAAATTGACAGCCGCACCCCACCCATGCAGGCGTGCAGTGCAGACCTCTTGGTTTGACTGGAGGGGAGCGGGGAAGGGGGGAGGGGAAAGGGGGGAGGGAAGAGTGGGGAAATGATGGCCGTACCCCGCCCAGGCAGGCAGCCTCCAGCCGCCGTGCAGTGCAGACCTCGGAGGGGGGTCTGGCGAGATGGGAGTGGCAATGGCAATGTCACATCACAGACCCGCTCATTTCTTAAGAAACAACTAGCAGCCTATTTACAAATATCTGTACAGACGGATACATGCATATAAAAAACATATCAAATTGGTTACTTTCCAGCTTACCAGAGACGAAGAAGCAAGGCTTTTGAGGCGCCTCAAAAGTGAGTCGACTCAAAAGTCACCTCTTTCCAGCTTACCAGAGACGAAGAAGCAAGGCTTTTGAGGCGCCTCAAAAGTGAGTCGACTCAAAAGTCACCTCTTTCCAGCTTACCAGAGACGAAGAAGCAAGGCTTTTGAGGCGCCTCAAAAGTGAGTCGACTCAAAAGTCACCTCTTTCCAGCTTACCAGAGACGAAGAAGCAAGGCTCCATGATGTATTGGGAAGCAGCAGAGTGACGACAGTGTCTGTCTCCGTCAACACCCCCTCTGCTGTGCTCCTCCCACTCTCACTGCCACCACTGCTGGCGCTGCTGGCACTTGCACTGGCAGCACTGGTGGCACAAAGTGGCAGTGATACCTGGGAAGATAGGAGAGCATGGAGGGGAGAGGGATGAGGGAGGATAAGTGGGAGGAGGCACGTGAAGGAGAGAGCACGTGGAGGGAGGCATGAGGGGGAGCAAGTGAGGGGACGCATGAGGGAGCAAGTGAGGGGACGCATGAGGGAGCAAGTGAGGGGACGCATGAGGGAGCAAGTGAGGGGACGCATGAGGGAGCAAGTGAGGGGACGCATGAGGGAGCAAGTGAGGGGACGCATGAGGGAGCAAGTGAGGGGACGCATGAGGGAGCAAGTGAGGGGACGCATGAGAGGGAACAAGCGGAGGGAGGTTTATACTGCATGTCACCTGCTCTACCCATCGCCCCTTAGCCCTGTACTCATGTTGAGCCACCTCAGGGACGCAAGAGGCTGGTCGGCGGGCATGTCTGTCTGTACCACCACGTCACGTCTGGCTAGCTACTAATTAGCCTCAGCTACTGATTAGCCTCAGCTGTCCATTAGCCTCAAACCAGACCCCCTCAGCCCTTGCCCCACCTTCAGCCAACTCACCTGCTGCTCTATCCATACCCGCTCAGCCCTTGCCTCACATTGAGCCATCTGACGGATACATGAGGCGGGTCGGTAGGCATGTCCCCCTGCCTGAACCACCACGTCTGGCCAGCTATCCATTAGCCTCACCAGCAGCTCTGCCAGCAAATTCTGCTCTTTTTGCTGCAGTTTTTTTTTGGCTTGTCCGGCTCTTTTTGCTGCTGCTGCTGCTCCTGCAGCCGAGTCACCTGGTATACCTGCAGCCCTGGACCCCTGTACTCACATTGAGCCATCTCAGGGATGCAAGAGGCGGGTCAGCAGGCATGTCTGCCTGCACCATCACGTCTGGCCAGCTATCCATCAGCCTCAGCACCAGCGCTGCTTCTTCCCCTGATCCACCTGCTCCTGCTCCTGCTGCCCCTGCTTCACCTGCTGCCGAGCCTACAGCAGTTCCCGCAGCAACAGGTTCGGATCCTGCCAGCATCACACGTCTCATTCGCTCCCTGTCAGGAGGCCCAGCAAAGAGAGCGTCAAACGGCGCATGGGGAATCAAGTCACTCGCACTGCCGCTACTGCTGCTGCTGCTGCTGCTGCTCCCTCCGCTTTCTCCACCAACCAACGTGGTACGTCCCTTCCGCCACACTACAGTGACCAAACCTCTGTCTTGAACTTTAACAGAGTTACCAGGCAAGTCAGCAGCAGACTTGACGGAGCTGACGGAGCTTCCACTGTCCCTGGAGGTCTCCGTCACCCCTGCTGACTGAAACCTCCTGGCCAATACGGTGGCGACAGCTGGCGCCAGACAGAGCGTCTGAAGCTGTGACATGGTCCCGCCCTGCAGAGCAGGATGTGCGACAATATGGTTATGATGAAATTAGAAAATGATCTAACAAAGAGGTACCATGTCGAAACTACAACTCCATAACGGAAGAGACAAGAAACGGAAAGACTTGGAGGAGATTCACAAGTGGGAAAAGAAAGATAGTAAAAAATAAATGACACAACGTGGCACATACCTCTGCTAGGGCGACGATTCTGAACGACGGTATGAGCGCTCCGCCGTTCGCGCTGCTCATTTCAGTGACACCAGAAGCTCTTCTGTCAGCACTGAAGCTTGTTCCCGTGCTACCAGAACGAGTGCTGTCAGCACCACTGCTGTGAGCAACAGCGGAGCTTGTTTCCATGACAACTGAACTGCCGCTGTCAGCACTGCTGTGACCTCTGGAGCTTAATTCCGTGTCATCTGAGCTGCCGCTGTCAGCAGTACGGTGACCTCTGGAGCTTAATTCCGTGTCATCTGAGCTGCCGCTGTCAGCAGTACGGTGACCTCTGGAGCTTAATTCCGTGTCATCTAAACTGCCGCTGTCAGCAGTACTGTGAGCAGTGGAGCTTGTTTCCGTTCCAACAGCAACACGACTCCCAGCATCCTCGTTCACGCGAGGAACTGCGGTCTCCCGCGTCGCCGCTGATTCGCTACCTTGAGACGCCTCTGACAGAGCCTGACGGACCGTCAGTAAATCGCTCTCTAAAGTCACCATAACTGGACCGAGATTACTGCTGTCTCTCTGCATGGACCAATAGAAGTGTAGCACGCGTCCAATTGCTGTAACACCGATGAAAATTAACACCAGGAGGACGAGCCAGATGAGCGTTGCGTATATCGAAGTGACAGTAACGAATCCGGCGACGTCACGCTTTCCCTTCGCCTTCTTGTCTTTCTTTGAACGGCGTTTGGAAGAGTAACCCCCGCCGAATCCTAGGATTCTGAAGCACGACGCGAATCTCCGACCGACTGCTTGTGACGACGATTGGAGCCATGAAATTCGGAGAGTATTGGAGAGTACAACTGGGTGAGACTGAGAGGAAAGGCTATCAGTAGTGGGTGATATAAGGCAAGCGGTTTCGGCCAATTCGTCTGAGGCTGTTTCTGGATGAAGGGTCTCGTTCACCGGGATATCTTTTAGAGCCGTCTTTAAAGCATGACGGCTCTCGTTTACAATTGGACCATCGGTGTTCGCTCGGTCTTTTTGAGAGGCTTGAGGCGTTTCTAAGACCACGTCATCAATGCTGGAGGTTGACGGGTCCGTCATTGTTCGACGACGGGAGATGGAATTTCAGGATTAGCTCATATGTCTAGGTAGCTTTGACAGAAATAACGCGATCAGCGTATCTGTCTGAAGCTTTGACCAGGGATCGCCGCGTGTGAGGGGTGTACCGCATGACAGCTACCGACTTCCCCACTGGAACACAAGCACATGTACATGGATCTAAAGCAGCACGAGTGTGCTGAAAAGAAACATCCGCTTGGCTATGGCTGTTGTGTTGTGCTTGGGAGAAACCGTATTCTGCTCTAACAGTCACAGCATTGTACAGCATAAGTGATATCGCTGGAAGATCAGAGCCTCGGGAATGTCTGTACAATAGCGCGGATTGTTGATGCCGCCAAATTCGACCAATTGCATGGAAAGTTTGAGTTTGCGGGGCAGCAGTGGCCACAACACTCCTTCCCAAATTCTCCCATGCCACTGAGAAATTTCCGAATTCGATGCGCGGGCACCTGAAACGTAATTTCCAGGGTGACCGACGAAAAACAGGCTCTGACTAGCAGGAAAAATCGGAACTGTCGCAGCGCGTGGTGCGCTGAGCGGTTTATGCGGGCGACGGTCAACAACACTGACGCTGCGCTGAATTGCGGTCGCGAACCGCAAAACCGAGGCATTTTGACGGGAAGGTAATCCCCAGGGAGACGAAAATGCAAGAGCCGTTTGTTCTCAAATGTTCATACCAGCGCCCGCCAAAGGAACTCCACGTCTGCGTCACCCACCCCTGGTTCTTGCTCCTACATCCTACTCAAAAGCTAGAAAGCTTTACCCGACCACTCTCAACAGTGATGCAGCAGATTAAACCGCGATCAGGCGTACCTTTCAGGACACACACAGCCTAGTATCTACAAACAAGCGAGCACGAACTCAAAAGCAGCACAACCAAGGTGAAGAAACGAGGCAGGACCACAAAGCATCGCCATTTAGTTCTATCAACTTAGTGTCTCACACTTGTAGCGTTCCGCCTCCACGTGCGCTAGGAGTCCGACGTGCTTTCTTGTACTAGGCAGACATGGAATTGCCAGGAGGTGTTGAACTAGAGCGTAAAAAGAGTCAAGCGACTAATTCGCCTGCGCGACCAAATCGTACATGGAACCTCACGAGTCTTTCGCGCGCCAGCCTCTTAGAGATCTCCCAATCACTCGGCTTTAACTCAGTCGCGATTCTCTTTCTCACGGCCGTCATGGTCTTTTGCATGGTCGCAGTTGGCGGCCTCTTTCCCCAGCCTCTTCAGTCCCAGAAACTATTCTTTCCGTCTGCTGACTCTTCCGTTACCGTCCGTCCAAACTCCAACGGAATCCGTCGAATGAGCATCCCTGCCATCGAGGTTATTGAGATTCGGCCCGATGCTGCAGAGGCGAGCAGAGGCAGCGATGTTTCGCAAACTGGAAGTGGTAACTCAGAAACCACCGATGTTTTCGCGGAGCAGAGCGAAGGTGGCTATCTGGATGAAGGCGCTACAGGAGCCGTTGCAGGGGAGCAAGAATCCTGGGCTGTGGCTCAGGAGGAGCCAAACGTAGCAGAAAAGCTGGATGAACGCGCCGCAGGAGCCGTTGCAGGGGATCAAGACTCATGGGCTGTGGCCCAAGAGGAGACAAAAGTAGCAGAGAATCTGAAAGAATCTGTAACAGCGCAGAATCAGGAAGAATCGACGTCGGCGTCAGATGAGGAGATCTCGAAAGATCAGGAAAGCGTCACTGAAAGCCCGGAATCAGGGTCACTTGGTGACGTCGAAGCTTCGTCGAACGGGGCTAGGGATGTCGAGGATACATCAAGAAGAGAGGAGACTGCGGCGAAAAATGTGGAAAATGTGAAGAATTCGGAGAACCCGGGACATGCGGAGAGTGCAGAGAGTGCGGAGGGTGCGGAGAGTGCGGAACGTGCTTCAGGACTGGGCGACGTCTACGCGATGGCAGAGGTGGGTTCGAGGTTCGACTAGCTGCTGTTGCACCGCCATTTAGTGGATTTAGCCGCGTTGCGTTGCGTTGTGCTAGCCTTGCTTATAGCCTCCCACCATCCCACCTTTTTCGGTACCCTCCATCCCTCAACGCAGGGTGGATCAGTGAGTTGACTCAGAAATTCCGTTGTCGTCACATGCTTTGTATTGTCACACCATCCCCATTGTCGCACCATCCCCATTGTCGCACCATCCCAATGTTCTCGAGACCCTTTTCCAATGCAGGGAGGAGGGATGGACCGCTTTCGAACCCTCTATCCTTACATCCCCGACTTGCATCGTCATCCTCACCTGCTCACTATTCTCTCACCGTTTCGCTATCATTTTCGGGACCAATTTCATTACCCCCCGTCTTGTAATGCAGGGAGGAGTGATGGACCGCCTTCGAACTCTCTGTCTCGCGCCGGCCGTCACGGCGACTCTCGCGCGTCGTTTGCAGGGAAAGCGGGAGAGCGACACGGCAGCCATGGCTTCATGCAGCGGCAGCAGCAGCAGCAGCGGTACCAGCAGCGGAACCAGAGTAACTATTATCTGGGACAGCAATGGGGACAGTGGATTTAACTCTCTGTTTGCCGGGCCTCCGAGGTTTGGAAGTCTGGCGGGAGTGTCGCCCGAGATGCTTGCTGACGTGGCTGTGGAGGAGACGTTGGATGAATCGCGTAAAGGGAGATTGACGGCCGAGATTGAGGTACGGGGATGCGAACGGGTGAAGCTGCAGGTTCCTTTGATGTTTACTGGAGGGGTATATGAGACGCCTTGGCTGTCCTTAATACCCCGTTTAGTGTCCTTATTATCCTGTCTCGTGTCCTTACTACCCTGTCCCATGTCTCGACTACAATGTTCCGTGCTGGCAGGTAACTGTTTCAGAATGTAAGGAGAACGAATCGAGCGAGACCAGCACTATCGGCAGCGGTGGAGGCAGTGGGGAGTCTGTTCGCCTGCTGCTGTCTGCAGCAATTGCTGCAGAAGTGATTTCGGGAAGTGACAGTAGAGCTAACAATGGCCGCGTTATTCTGGTGAGTTTCCAGCGATTTTTAGCGTTTCCCAGCGCATTCAGCGTTTTCAGCAATGAGACTGCGCAGCAGCGTATGCAACAGGTACCGAGTTCTCAAGACACTCCAGCTAAACAACTCGTTGTTCCTTCCTTGCTGTTCTCCCCGCACCTCACCAATTCCCTTTCCCCCCACCAGTCAAATCAAGAGGCCTGCACTGCTCGGCGGATGGAAACGGCCTGCCTGGGCGGGGTGCGGCCGTCAGCTGGCGTGGCGGCCATCATGCGCGCCCAATCCGCCTCCGCCCTGTCCGCCCTCCCCCACTCCACCGCTGTGTATCTCGAGAGGGGAGCTGCCGCTGCACCAGGCGCTGGAAATGCAGCAGACGCACGGGCAGCAGAAGGAGCCAAAGCAGCAGCGGCGGGGACTTGTGGGGGATGCGCTAACGATCCCCTTCTGAACTGCACAATTCGCACACTCGCCTGGAGGTTCCTCCGTGCGGGTTCCACCCATCCTTCCTCCTCCTCCGCCTCCTCCCCCTCCTCTCCCTCCTCCCCCTCCTCTTCCTCCTCTCCGTCCACCCTCTCTCCGGAGTCATCCTTCGTAGTGGCTGCATTTGAGCCCGAGAGCGCTGCTGCAGTGGCTGCCACCTTCCACCCCTCCCGCGCGCCTCTCCTCCTCCCCGTCACCCTAGCCCGCCTCAAGCGCTGCTCTCGCTCCTCCTCCTCCCCAGCAGCTAGAAGACTGCTTCAGGAGTCCAGAGCGTCAGATTCAGCTGCTGCCGCTGCTGCTGCTGCTGCTACAGCTGGTGCTGCTGTTAGTGATGGTGCTGCCTCCGATGCTGCTGGTGATGCCACTGGTGCTGGTACTGCCCCTGGTCTGGATGTGACAGTGTGGAAGGGTGACAACATCGAGTGGAGCTGCGCCCAGCTGCAGGTGGCGGAGGCGTGGGTGGTGTCGACAGCAGCGGCGCTCATCCACACCCGCGCGTCTCTCGAGGCCCGCTTCCTCCTCGCCCAGGCCAGCGTCGGCACTGCTAGGCGGATCCTCTCAGGGGCTACGGGGGGAGGAGAAGGAACAGGGGTGGAAGAGGGAGCAGAGGGAGCAGACGCTGAGGGTCGTGACAGCAGCGATGGCAGCAGCAGCAGCAGCAGCAGCAGTGGAGCTTCGTTTGTTGTGGAGCCAAGTGTGTGTGAGGCGCCTGCTGCCGTGTCATTCAAGGGCAAAGCCGAGAGGTTTCTGCGGCAATTCATTGTGGATGGTGAGTTACTCTCCTGCCAGCCTGCTTACCCCCTTGATTGCTGGCCTGCCTGCCTGCTTGCTCCTGGCATGCCTGCATACTTGTTCACTAAGCTTGTTCGTCCTGCCGTGCCATTCAAGGGCAAAGCCGAGAGTTCTCTGTGCCAATTCATCGTGGATGGTACGTTGTGTGCCTTCCTGCCCGCCCGCCGGCCCGCCTGCCTGCCTGCCTGCTTGCTTGCTTGACTTGCGGACTTGCAACTCCTGCTACCTCATTCAAGGGCACAGCGGAGAGGTTCCTGCGCCAGTTCATTGTGGATGGTGCGTTGTGTGCCTTCCTGCCCGCCTGCTCGATTGTTATCATGCCTGCTGGCCCATCTCTTTGCGTGCCTGCCCGCCTGCCTCCCCACCTGTCTGCCCGCCTGCTTGTCTTCTGATCCAGTCGAACATAATTCCCAAGCCTCTTTCCACCTGCAGAGAAGCTCAATACCATCTACTGCTTTGTGCCCAAGGTCGCCTGCACGAGCTGGAAAACCTGGTCCATATTCTATGAGCCTTTCCCTGATTTTAGCTCTCGTTTGTATTCTCATTCTTTCCTCATCCCTCCGCCATCCCTTTTCAGAGAAGCTCAATACAATCTACTGCTTTGTGCCCAAGGCCGCGTGTACAAGCTGGAAAACCTGGTTCCGGCAGCAGCAGCAGGGGCAGGGGCAGAAAAACATTTCAGACGTGTACCTCACGCACGACCACTACAAGAGCGGCTTACGCATTCTCGCATACCATTATAACGAGTACGAGGTGATCCGGCTGCTGACCCGCCCGGATTTCTTCAAGTTCTCGTTTATTCGGAATCCGTACGCGCGGCTAGCCTCGGTGTATTTTAACAAGCATGTGAACGGAGGCCCGCCGTTCGGGCGGCAATTTTGGAACAAGATGTTTTTCCGGGGTATTACCCCGTACAGGAAATTGATGGAGGAGCAAGGAGGGAAGGACCTGTTTGGGTTCAGTGACTTCGCGTATCTGCTGAGGAATGTGGAGGAGAGGGTGAGAAGCTATATGGAGTCACACGTGCAGCCTCAGGTGAGACCAAGAGATGGGAAAGGGATGGAAGAGGTGGGGATAAAAACTAGGTGGTTTGGGTGGAGGAGCAGGGGGGGAAGGACCTGTTTGGGTTCAGCGACTTTGCTTACCTGCTGACGAATGTGGAGGAGAGGGTTAGGAGCTATATGGAATCCCACGTGCAGCCTCAGGTGAGACCAAGAGATGGGGATGGGATGGGAGATGGGAATTGGGATTAGGTGGTTTGGGTGGAGGAGCAGGGAGGGGCGGACCTGTTTGGGTTCAGTGATTTTGCTTATCTGCTGAGGAGTGTGGAGGAGAGGGTGAGAAGCTATATGGAGTCACACGTGCAGCCTAAGGTGAGAGAGAGCAATGGGGATGAGAATGGGGGGAAGAGAGAGAGGGTTTCTTGTTTGGCTTATGAGTGTAGTTGGGTGGAAAAGGGTGAGTGGAGTTGCAGTTGAGAGGATGCCTGTTATATCTCTTGACATTAGTATCTGATCATCCAACTCACTCCCCTGCACCATTTGCATTTTACTCGCCCCATCCACAGATGGATGTTTGCCGGTTTGACGCCATCAAATTCGACTTCATTGGCCGGTTTGAGAGCCTCGATGCTGACGTGGCAGAGGTTCTGCATAGGCTGAATAAGACGGACGCCTCTGGTGCATTCTCCATTGGGCTGAATGCGCACAGGACAAATGCAGAGGACAAACTGACATCTTTATACGACGAGGTATGTCTCTTGCGAGCCTGTTCTCGTCCTCTTTCAGAGTAATTGCTTACTCTGGCTTTCGTGGTTACATCTCTTCCGCTTTCGATGTTTACCTGTTATTTGATCGCACTTTGTTTATTGCTGTTCTGCCTGTTTATTGCAGAGAGCCTTTACTGAGGCTTCACACCTGTACGCCTCAGATTTCAACATCCCATTGAATAACATTTCTTACTATGTACCAGAAGGGCTTGCTAGGAAGTTCAGGATGACAACTGCAGTCACCCAATAGATGAAATTGGCTAGAAATAATTAATACTATATGTAACATAGAATTAGGTTTGAATTATTTGGATGCATTGGATGCTTGAAGTTTTGCTATTATTGTGCAGAATTCGTTCTCCAGCTTACCAGGGGCATAGAAGCAAGGCCCCACGATGCATTGGGAAGCAGCAGAGAGTTGACAGTGCCTCTCTCCCCCAACACCCCCTCTGCTGTGCTCCTTCCACTCTCACTGCCATCACTGCTGGCACTGCTGCTGGCTGTGCTGCTGTCACTGGTGCCAGGAGCACTGGTGGCGCAAGGTGCTAGTGAGACCTGGAAGATGGGAGGGCGTGGAGGGAGGGATAGAGGGGAGCACTGGCACTGGCAGCACTGGTGGCGCAAGGTGGCAGTGAGACCTGGGAAGATGGGAAGGCGTGGAGGAAAGAGGGATGAGGGAGGATAAGTGAAGGGCGTGGAGGGTTGACGGATGAGGAAGAATAAGTGGGGAAGGCAAAAGCGGGATTATTTGAGGGAGGCAAGAGGGGGAGCAAGTGAGGGAGGCATGGGCGGGAGCAAGTGAGGGAGGCATGAGCGGGAGCAAGTGAGGGAGGCATGAGGGAGAGCAATCAAGGGAGGAAAGAAGAGAGCAAGTGACAGAGCCATGAAGGGGAGTAAGCGAGTGAATGCATGTACGGCTCACCTGCTCTACCCATCGCCCTTCAGCTGTCGTCACACATTGAGCCAGATAAGTGGACTCGTGCACTTGACACAGCAGTATAATCTGCATGTGTAAGCAAGGAGCTTTGCTGCACAAGGCACCCCACATCACATGTACCGCAAACTACTGGCTCTACCCGTGGCCCCTCAACCCTCGCCTCACATTGAGCCATCTCAGGGACGCATGAGGTGGCTCGGCAGGCATGTCTGCCTGTACCACCACGTCTGGCCAGCTATCCATCAGCCTCAGCAGCAGCTCCTCCTCTCCCCATCCAACCCAACCCAGTCACCTGGTATACCCGTGGACCTAGAGTTCTGTACTCACATTGAGCCATTGGAGGGACGCATGAGGTGGCTCGGTGGGCATGTCTACCTGTACCACCACGTCTGGCCAGCTATCCATCAGCCTCAGCAGCAGCGCTGCTCCCCTCCCCCAGTCACCTGTTAACCCGCGGCCCTGGACCCCTGTACTCACATTGAGCCATCTGAGGGATGTGAGAGGCAGGTCAGAGGGCATGTCTCCCTGCACCGCCACGACTGGCCAGCTATCCATTAGCCTCGGCAGCAGCGCTGCTTCTGAGCCTGCTCCTGCTTCCTCTGCTCCTGCTCCTCCTCCCGCTGCCCCTCCTGCTGCTGCTCCTACTGTCCCTGCTTCACCTGCTGCCGAGCCTACAGCAGTTCCCACAGCAGAAGGTTCAAATCCTGCCAGCATCACTCTTCTCATTCGCTCCCCATCAGGAGGCCCGGCAAAGAGAGCGTCAAACGGCGCATGGGGAATCAAGTCACCTGCACTGCCGCTACCGCTGCTGCTGCTACTTTCAGAGTTGCTGCTGCTGCTCCCTCTGCTCTCTCCACCAATAAACGGTGGGGTACGTGTCTTCCGCCACACTATAGTGACCAGACCTCTATCCCCAACGCTAACAGAATCATCATGTAAGTCAGCAGACTTGACGGAGCTGACGGAGCTTCCACTGTCTTTTGAGGTTTCCGTCAACCCTGCTGACTGAAACATCCTGGCCAATACGGTGGCGACAGCTGGCGCCAGACAGAGCGTTTGAAGTTGTGACATGGTCCCACCGTGCAATGTAGCATCGCGTGCGAGAAACACAGGATTATTGTTCTATGTATCAGATAGTATCATATGATCAGAAAGTTGCCTAAGAAGGGGTACCAGGTCGTTTTTGAGAATTCTCAAAAGGTATAAACTATAGTGACCAGACCTCTATGTATCAGATAGTATCATATGATCAGAAAGTGGTCTAAGAAGGGGTACCAGGTCGTTTTTGAGAATTCTAAACCCTCGCCTCACATTGAGCCATCTCAGGGACGCATGAGGTGGCTCGGCAGGCGTTTTTTAAAGAAAGGTAAAAACAGCTTAGTCAACATGGCACAAACCTCGACCAGAGCAACGACTCGTGATAAAATCTGGGTTGTGAGACGTCTCAATACCCAAAAATAAAAGAAAGGTAAATAGCTGAGTCAACATGGCACAAACCTCGGCCATAGCAACGACTTTGGATGATGGCCTGAGTGGTCCTCCGTTCGCACTGAAGCTTGTTCCCGTGCTACCAGAACCGCTGCTGCCAGCATCACTGCTGTGAGCAGCGGAGCTTGTTTCCATGGCAACTGAACTGCCATTGTCAGCACTGCTGTGACCGCTGAAGCTTGTTCCCGTGACACCAGCACCGCTGCTGTGAGCACCACTGCTGTGAGCAGCAATGGAGCTTGTTTCCATGGCAACTGATCTGCCGTTGTCAGCACTATTGTGACCTCTCGAGCTTAATTCCGTGCCATCTGAACTGCTGGTGTAAGCAGTACGGTGAGCAGTAGAGCTTGTTTCCGTTCCAACAGCACCAAGACTCCCAGCATCCTCGTTCACGGTAGGAACTTCGGTTTCCCGCCCCGTCACTGATTCGCTACCGTGAGACGCCTCTAACGGAGTCTGACAGACCGTCACTAAATCGCTGTCTAAAGTCACCATAACTGGACCGAGATCATTGCTGTCTCTCTGCATGGACCAATAGAAGTGTAGCACGCGTCCAATTGCTGTAACTCCAATGAAAATAAGCACCAGGAGGACGAGCCAGATGAGCGTTGCGTATATCGAAGTGACAGTAACGAATCCGGCAACGTCACGCTTTCCCTTAGCCTTCTTGTTTTTTTCCGAGCGGCGCTTGCAGTGATAACCCCCACCGAATCCTAGGATTCTGAAGCATGAGGCGAATCTTCGGCCGACTGCTTGTGACGACGATTGGAGCCATGAAACTGGGAGAGCATCGGGGAGTACAGATGGGTAAGACTGTGAGGAAAGGCTATCAGCAGTGGGTGATATAAGGCAAGCCGTTTCGGCCAATTCGTCTGACGCTGTTTCTGGATGAATGGTCTCATTCACCGCCGGGGCATATTCTAGAGACGTCGTTAAAGCATGACGGCTCTCGCTTTCAATGAGACTATTGGCGAGCGCTCGGTCGTCCTGAATGACTTGACGCGTTTCTAGGGCCACGTCTTCAATGCGCGAGGCTGACGGGTCCGTCATGGTTCGTCGACGGGAAATGGAATCGCATAATCAGCTTATATGTATACAATCGTAGGAATGAGCGGCCAGCGTATCTATCTGGAGTTCGACAGAAATAAGACTTCGACCGAGTATCGACGCGTATGAGGGGTTCACCACATGACATCGACCGTCTTTTCCACTGCAAGACACGACGCTTTCACATGGATCTAAGCAGCGCGAATCTGCCGAATAGAAGCATCATCCTAGGCTATGCATGTTGTGCTTGGGAGAGAGTGTTCTCTGTTTGAGCTGAAGTGGCTTTGAGAGAACTCAACGCGTATCTGCTTTCACACTTACGCCAGTGTAGATCAGTCGGTGATTTTGCAGGAAGATGAAAGCCTCGAGAGTGCTAGAGAAGTGCAATAGCGCGGATAGATGACGCCGCCAAATTCGACCAATCGCATAACAGGATCTGACCAGCACGGAAATTGAGACTGTCGCAGCGCGTGGTGCCTGGGTGACGGCCAACTCAACACTGACGCTGCGCTGAATTGCGGTTCGCGAACCGCAAACCGAGGCATTTTGACGGGAAGGTAATTCCCAAGAAGGCAAAGGCAAGCCGTTTGTGGAGCGTCACCCCTCGTTCTCGCTCCAGCACGCTACTCAAAAGCTAGAAAGCCCTACCCGACCACTCTCAACGGCAATGCAACAGATTAAACCGCGATCAGACATACCTTCAGGGACGCACACAGCCTCTCTGCTATAACAAGCGACCATGAACTCAAAACGCAGCACAACCAGGGTGATGAAACGAGGCAGGATCACAAAGCATCGCCATTTAGTTCTATCGACTTAGTGTCTCACACTTGTGAAGTTCCTTCTCCACGTGCGCTAGGAGTCCGACGTGCTTTCTTGTACTAGAGAGACATGGAATTGCCAGGAGGCGTTGAAATAGACCGTAAAAAGAGTCAGGCGACTAATTCGCCTGCTGCTCGACCGAATCGCACATGGAACCTCACGGGTCTTTCGCGCGCCAGCATCTTAAAAATCTCCCAGACACTCGGCTTTAACTCAGTCGCGATTCTCTTTCTCACAGCCGTCATTCTATTCTTCATGGTCGCAGTTGGCGGCCTCTTTCCCCAGCAACTTCAATCCCATTTTTTTTTTTTTCCCGTCTGCTGACTCCTCCGTTACCGTCCGTTCCAACTTTTTTATCGGAGTCCGTCGAATGAGCATCCCTGACATCGAGGATCTTGAGATTCGGCCCGGTGCTGCTACTGAAAATAAAGACACCGATGCTTCGCAGAATGGAAGTGGTAACTCAGAAACAACTGATGTTTCCGCGGAGCAGAGCGAAGGTGGCTATCTGGACGAAGGGGCCGCACGACCCGCTGCAGGGGATCAAGACTCATGGGCCGTGGCCCAAGAGGATCCAGTAACGCAAATTCAGGAAAATTCCGTGACAGCGGAAAACCAGACATCAGTGCAAAATAAGGGAATGTCGAAGGTTCGGAATCAGGGAGGCGCCGCTGAAAGGCCGGAATCAGGAACACTTGGTGACGTCAACGTCTTGTCGGAAGAAGGTACAGTTAGGCCTGTCGAGGATACATCGCTAGGAGAGAACACGGCAGGAGTTTCCGAGAGCTTAGAGAATGCGGAGAATGTGGAGAACGAGGAGAACGCGGAGAACGCGGGGAACGCGGAGAAAGCGGGGAAGGCGGAGAACGCGGGGCAAGCGGAGAGTGCGGAGAGGTCGGCACGTGCTGCAGGACTGGGTGACATCTACACCATGGCTGAGGTACGTTTTGCTGCGGCGGTTGATGTTCAAGTAACTAATATTCACCCCTCGCTGGCGAAATAAGAAGCACTATGTAAAAGCTATGGGTAGTGAAAGCTATGTGTCACAGTTTAGTGGTCGCCAATGCACCACCTGTTCCTTCCTGTTCCCAATGCAGGGAGGAGTGATGGACCGCCTTAGAACCCTCTGTCTCGCACCAGCCGTCGCGGCGACTCTCGCGCGTCGCCTGCAGGGAAAGAGTGACGGTGACACGGCAGCCATGGCGGCAGGCAGCAGTAGCAGCGGAACTAGAGTAACGGTTGTTTGGGACAGCAATGCCGACAATGGCTTTAACTCTCTGTTTGCGGGGCCGCCGAAGGCTGGACGTCTGGCGGGAGTGTCATCCGAGATGCTCGCTGAGGTGGCGGTGGAGGAGACGTTAGATGAATTTCTGAACGCGAGATTGACGGCCGAGATTGAGGTACGGGGATGCGAACGGGCGAAGCTGCAGGTTCCTCTGATGCTTACTAGAGGGGTTCCTGAGACTCCTTGGCTATCCTTTCCTGTATCCTTATTCTTCCGCCCAATGTCTCTTGTCGTTACAACTCTGTCCCGTCTCTCAACTACAATACTCGGTGTCGGCAGGTGGCTGTCTCAGAGTGCAAGGAGAACGAACCGAGCGAAACCGACGCTATCAGCAGCAGTGGAGGCAGTGGCGAGTCTGTTCGCCTGATGCTGTCTGCAGCAGCTGCTGCAGAGGTGATTTCGGCAAGTGGCAGTGGCGAGACCAACGGCCGCGTGATTCTGGTACGCTCACAACATGTTCAGCGATTGTCAACGTTTTCAGCATTTTCAGCAACCTGAGCTCTCCAAATTTCTAACTCCTTTATTCCCCCCTTTGCCAATTCCCACTCTTCTCATTCTTCCACCAGTCACCTCAAGAGGTCTGCACTGCGCGGAGGCTGGAAACGGCCTGCCTGGGCGGGATGCGGCCATCAGCAGGCGTGGCGGCCATCATGCAGGCCCACCCCGCCTCCGCGCTCTCCGCCCTCCCCCGCTCCACCGCCGTTTACCTTGACAAGGGGGCTGCCGCTGCGCCAGGCGCAGGGGATGCAGCAGCAGCATCAGGGGAAGATGCAAGAGCGACAGAAGGAGCCACAGCAGCAGCAGCAGCAGCAGCGGCGGCAGGGAATTGTGGGGGCTGTGCGAAGGATCCCCTTCTCAACTGCACCATTCGAACAATCGCATGGAGGTACCTCCGTGCGGGCTCCACCCCTCCTTCTTCCCCCTCATCCTCTCCTTCCTCCTCGCCTTCCTCCTCGCCTTCCTCCACCTCCTCCCCTCCTTCATCCTCCTCTTCCTCCCTCTCCCCCAAGACATCATTCATAGTTGCTGCGTTCGAGCCTGAAAACGCTGCTGCAGTGGCAGCTGCCTTCCACCCCTCCCGCGCGCCTCTCCTCCTCCCCGTCACACAAGCCCGCCTTAAGCACTGCTCTCGCTCCTCCTCCTCCTCGCTCTCCTCCTCTTCTTCTTCCTCCTCCTCCTCTCCCTCCACCCCCCCCTCCTCCTCCGGTTCCGAGTCTAGTAGCCAAGAAGGGAGAGGTGGAGTATTTGACTTAGGGAACGGTGCAGCAGAGAGCAGCTCAGCAGAGAGCAGCGCGGCAGGGGTAGAGCCAGGAGCTAGAAGACTTCTTCTGGAGCAGTCTGGTGCTTCGGATTCTGCTGCTGCTGTAACTGATGCTGGGGGTGCTGTTGATGGTGCTGCTAGTGCTGGTGGTTCCGCTGGTGCTGCTGCGGCTGGTGATGATGCTGCTGATGTGGATGTGAGTGTGTGGGAGGGTGACAGTAGCGAGTGGAGCTGCTGGCAGCTGCAGGTGGCGGAGGCGTGGGTGGTGTCGGCAGCAGTGGCGCTCATCCCCACCCGCGCATCTCTCGAGGCCCGCTTCCTCCACGCCCAGGCTACTGCCGGCACAGCTCGGCACATCCTCGGAGGGGCTATGAGGGGAGGAGACGGGAGAGAGGAAGCAGAGGGGACAGGGGGGGCAGAAGGAGCAGATGCTAGGGGTCGTGACAGCAGCAGTAGCAGCAGCAGTGGTAGCAGCAGCAGCAGCAGAGGTGGAGGTTCGTTTGTGGTGGAGCCAAGCGTGTGTGAGGCACCTCCTGCCGTGTCGTTCAAGGGCACAGCGGAGAGGTTTCTGAGGCAATTCATTGTGGACGGTGCGTTGTGTGCCTGGCCCCTTGATTGTTGGCATGCCTGCCTGCTTGTTCCCGACCTGCCTGCCTGCCTGCCTGCCTGCCTGCCTGCCTGCCTGCCTGCCTGCCTGCCTGCCTGCCTGCCTGCCTGCCTGCCTGCCCGCCTGCCCACCTGCCTGCCTGCCTGCCTGCCTGCCTGCCCGCCTGCCCACCTGCCTGCCTGCCTGCCCGCCTGCCCACCTGCCTGCCTGCCTGCCTGCCTGCCCGCCTGCCCGCCTGCCCACCTGCCTGCCTGCCTGCCTGCTAAGCTTGCCCCTCCTGCCGTGTCGTTCAAGGGCACAGCAGAGAGGTTTCTGCGGCAACTCATTGTGGATGGTACGTTGCTCTCCTGCCCGTCCGCCTGCCTGCCTCCTGGTTCGCTTATCTCTTCTCCCATGTATCCCCCGCCTCTTTCCACCTGCAGAGAATCTCAAGACCATTTACTGCTTTGTTCCCAAGGTCGCCTGCACAAGCTGGAAAACCTGGTTCCGACAGCAGCAGCAGGGGCAGGGGCAGAAAAACATTTCCGACGTGTACCTCACGCACGACCCCTTCAAGAGTGGCTTACGCATTCTCGCATACCACTATAACGAGTATCAGGTGATCCGGCTGCTGACCCGCCCGGATTTCTTCAAATTCTCGTTCATTCGGAATCCGTACACACGGCTAGCCTCGGTTTATTTCAACAAGCATGTGAACAAAGGGCCGCCGTTCGGGCGTCATTTTTGGAACAAGATGTTTTTCAGGGGTATTACCCCGTACAGGCGGCTTGTGGAGGAGCAGGGGGGGAAGGGCCTGTTTGGGTTCAGTGACTTTGCATATCTGCTGAGGAGTGTGGAGGAGAGTAAACGGAGTTATATGGAATCTCACGTGCAACCTCAGGTTAGAAAGGGGAGATGGGGATCAGAACTTGATTGTTTGGGTGGAGCATGGGGGGGAGGGAGGTGGAGATGAAAATTGGAGGAGGGGGAGGGGAGGGCGGGAAGGTCTCTGTTTTTGACAATCGGATAATGAGTGAGCTTGGATGGAGCGGGGGCTGAATTCCGGTTGAGAGAATGCGTGTACTGCTTTTCGTTTCCCACTAGTTAAGCAGCTTTCCACCCCCTCTCCATGACAAGTTCATGGCTTCCGTTCTGGTCGTCCAATTCACGCTTCTGCTGCATTTGCATCTGGCTTGCCCCAATAACAGATGGATGTTTGCCGGTTTGACGCCATCAAATTCGACTTCATTGGCCGGTTTGAGAACCTCGATGCTGACGTGGCAGAGGTTCTGCATCAGCCGAATAAGACGGACGCCTCGGGTGCCTTTTCCATTGGGCTGAATGCGCATAGGACAAATGCAGAGGACAAACTGACATCCCTATATGACGAGGTATGTCGAGTGCAACAATACTTTTGCCGATATGTCCTCTTATGGCGTGGAAAATCGCCCGGAAACTCAATTCGGCCAGGTGGCCGAATTGAACGAACCCTTTCACGAGCTTCGCTGACGGTTCCACAACCAAACAAATTGCATGGTCAAAGTTGCGAAGCTCGTTTACTGGTTACTTTCGCAACGGCCATCTGGCCGAATTGAGATTTCTGGCGATTTTCCACGCCCTTTTGAATCAATATCCAACGTTGGTTTTCATGGTTATTTTTCCCCATGGCTGTTTACCTTCTTTATATGACCACATTTTTTTTGCTGGTTTGCTTGTTGACTGCAGAGAGCCTTTACTGATGCTTCACACCTTTACGCCTCAGATTTCAACATCCAATTGAATAACATTTCTTATGATGTACCAGAAGGGCTTGTTAGGAAGTTTGGGACGGCGCCTGCAGTTACGCAGTAGATAAAATAGGCCAGAAGCAATAAATGATACCATATACTTAGTAGGATGATTTGGATGCATTCGTATGCACTAAATTTTGCTGTTTCTTGTGTTTGATGACAAGAATGTCATAAAAAAACATGAGCTTTATTTGTTTAATATTAATTCATGAAACTGCATACCGTATCGGAGCATTGGTTGAAGAGCGAGCCGTGAAAGTTTCTGACACGATTCAGTGCCAGCCGACAAGTGCCGACTGACGAATTGGATTGGAGGTGTTCGCGGGGTTCTTGAATTGAAACTCACGTATGAACAGAGCAGACCACACCTGCAGAAAGTTCTGACGAATTCAGAATCGGTTCTGGTCGCTGGCAGTGGTGTGAGCTGTCCTGTTATTTCCTGCACTTTCGTAAACATTAGGTTGGGCCAACATCACAGGCATGCAAAATAGTATGGTAACCCTATGCAATTGTGTGCAAAACCGTCAATACCTCAGTTGAGGAGTTAATAACATATTTCCTCAACAAAACGTTTGTTTTTATTTCAGTTGCTTATTTGTACCGCGCTTTGCTTTGCGCTAAAGTAAACTGTTCTTGCCAGGTGAGCAATACTGCTCACTATACCTGACCCAAGAAAAATAAAACCCAATTGGAAAGGGATGCGAATCGGGGAGACATCAACCCTAAAAACAACGCCCTTTCCCGTGTTTAGGGTTGATCCCTCCCGGAAATGCGTCCAGATCCCTAGGGGTTCTAGTTGTTTCTGCCCTGCCCTTGCAGTTCCGGGTAGCGTCGTCGTCGCTTACTTTCATACCAACGGAATTCTCCGCTAAATGCATCGTGGACTTTTAGCGGAAAGATGTTGCCCGAAGGAAACGCAGCTAGGCGCCTGACAAAGCGCGGTTAAAACCCCTAAATCTCAAATTTGAAAACGCAATCGATTAATCCACATAGTTTTTCCTTTTTTGTGCTGCGTCAGCTGTTACACAGTGTTTTGAGTTGCTGTACCAGACAAACTTGCGCAGCAGAACTGGGGTTTCGATGGTTTTGCATACAATTGCATAGGGTTACCATACTATTCTGCATGCCTTTATGATGTTGGCCCCATCAGGTTCGAGTGGAGGTAGCCCAACCCACACTCAATTTTCGGAAACCATACCCGTCCCCAACCACACCTTCCCCGAACCGAACCCGTCAGGCTTTGTGCTTCTCTGACGGCGGGTTCTGAAGCCGAATCGTGTGCGTCAGCCACCAGCCGCCGATAAACGGCACGGATGTGAGAGCCGCCAAATTGACCCTTTCTGATTCGTCCTCTGGTTCTACAGATCGACCACTGTGGTGCAACTCTGCGTGTCGCACTTCCTTCACTCTTTCCGCCCGACTCTGACATATGCTACTGTACTGTGGTGCCAAAACCACTGCTGCGAAGGGTAGGAGGAGCCGCATTTCTGCTCGTCGCGCCGCGTGTTGGGAATTACTGATCAATCCACTCGTGAATTGTCGTGTCGACGTACCTTTCATCCGATTCATGTCCGCTCTCCGACATTTGATGTGCATGGTATCTCCCTGCTTGCTGCTGCCGTTTCTGCCCAGGCACCCTCTCTTCCCCTTTTCTCGTTCGCTTTGCACTATCCTGCTCTCTCACACGGAGTGGAGTGGAATCGTCAACGCAGCAATCCTCTGGACCGAAACGCCTACTTCTGACATCAAGTTTCGCCGAGCGTCGCTCCATGAAAACCGCGGTGATGTGTTTTCCCTCGCCGGATAGCTCACCGCCGAGACTTCCCCATCAGCCGTCCCCTCTCAAAGGTTCATACGCGCCAGGTCGGAAAAACACGGACTCTCGGTATCATCATCCCCTTGATGAAAAATATAATACAATATTCCGTCCGTCCAATCTCTTTTCTTTTAGCATCAATCGACAGGCTCCGCCTCTGAGACGAGCGGTAGATCTCCGCCGTTCAGTTGACTTTCCTCAGATCGTGCCTGCCTTGTAGGAGGTACACATCTTCTGTCGTCTTTACTTCCTACCGCCCTTGATTCAGGTGGAACCTTCATTTATTCCCACTAACGTTGCCGACATTTAAGGTATCGACTGGTGGCGTAGCAGCCGGGGACCATCGTAATCTTCCTGTCCATACCTGTCCGTTCCGACCTTACTTCGTAGGATCCTAGCGTCCTGCACTCATCGAGTATAACCTCCCTTCGCCAGTCTTCATTACTCAGTGTCAGCACTTTTCATTTCCAGCAATAGCTTTCAATGCGATCCTAATGTTCTTTAGGCGACGATACGTTCCACTCCTCTAAGCTGGCTGTGCAATCTCTGCAACCGGTTCTCGGTGCTTCGTGAAGTCGCTCCAACAGCGACGATTAGTTCACTTCACGCCTTAAATTCCGCATCGCCTTAGCTAACTTAGCTGCACAACAGTGAGGGTAGCATGATTACGGTGTTTTCTCTGTTCCCATCGTTTATCGCTCGTTAGCATAAATTGTCAGTTGTTGAGGCGCCTCAAGAAATCTCTCGATATTGGCGTGCTACCGTGCTCGTTGTTTCCGCTGTACAGTACAGCGATAATTCAGCAGTAGTGGGTAGGTTCATTACGAGCCGCCAGCGGCGCGCGCCTGCCGATTCTCTCGATCCGTTTCGCTGAGCGTCACTCTCGCCGGAAACATCCGCATTGACTGGATCTACTAATGGCGAAAACATCTGAAACAGGCGAAGATCAGCGAGTTTCGCCAATGGGCGAGAAGCTCCTTCCGGTCACCACCCGCGCGGTTACCCCCCGCGCCGCCTCCGCGGATCCGTGGGGGCTGCTGCGGTGGGGAAAGTACTGCGGGAACGGCGGGGGGGATTTATTGCGCGCCGCGTTTCACATACTCCCGTTCGCGTTACTCTTGGCTTTATTCGCCGTCTCCTCGAATTTCGTCCTTGGCGGCTTTTCGCAACAACCGTTTCGCCAAAGCCTCATAGTTCCGCTGTCTGTGTCGAAAATGTCGTCCCCTGCCACCACCTCCGCCGCCGCCGCGGCCGCCGCAAATCTCGCCGCGCCGGCAGAGGGCGCTTCCAGCAAGTTTTCAGGTGAAGAGGGGTCCGTGTTTGGCGGATTCGCGGATCCCGCGGCGGACCGAGCGGAGCTTGGGGAGTCTGCGCAGGGAGCGGAAGTGGCGGAAGCGGAGTCCGCAAAAGCGGAGCTGGAGGGGGTTTCCGCGCGGAAAGCGGAGATCAAAGAGAGTTCCTCAAAACTATCGGAGGAGAGCGTAGCGGATGTGACTGCAAGGAAGGAAAAAGAAAAAAGCACCGGCAGACGCGCAGGAAAGGGGAAGCCTGAGAAGCGAAAGGAGAAGGAAGGACGTCCGAGTGATACAAACGAACGCGGGATTCGGGAGGCAGCGGTGGTTGGCGAAAGCGCTTCTAAGGAAGTATCGTCCAACCAGAGTGGTTCTGATAACGGGTCGGCTTTTGAGGCGTCCGTTTTCGAGGCTATTTTCGAGTCGCCTCAAAATGAGGGTGATTCTAAGAACAGGTTGGGCGGTGCGAGCCTGGTGGCGACTGACGAGATTCGGAATGAGAGTGCGGTTGTTGAGGAAAGTCAGGAATTGAGTGGCGGTGACGTCGAGGCTGCATTAACGGTGAAGACACCAAAGGAGGAGGCATCGACGGGCGGAGAGACCTCTACGGGAGAGGCTACGACGGGGGCGACTGAGACTGTGGGGGAAGCATCGGCGGAGGGGGAAGCATCGGCGGTGGGGGGGTCATCGGCGGGGGAAGAAGTACAGGCGGAGACAGCAAAGCAGCAAGAGGATACCCTTGTGAAGAGCGCGTTTGTCGCTGTAACGGAGGTGAGTGTAGCGGAATTGAGTGTAACGGGGATGAGAGGGGCGGAGGGGGTGGAGGAAGCGCTAAGGCATTCATTTCGTCGATATCTAGCCCTGCCACCTAAAAAGGTATCTGGCCCTGCCATATCATCCCGTCCGGTTCTCCTCCACACCCCCTTCCTCCCGTTCCTCGCTTTCCTCTCATTCCTCCTCCTCCTCATCACCACCCCCTCCCCCGCATCCCCTCCCCCCCCACCCTCTCTCTTCCCCTTCAACCTTTCTCCCAGGGCGATTTTCCGTCTCGCCTCGGCGTCCTCTGCGCCGCTCCGTCAGTTGCGGCGGTTCTCGCGGCGAGAAACGCGGAGGAGCAGGACCAAACCGGGCAGGCGCGAGCAATGGCGGTGGTCTGGAGGGGCGGGGACGATCTTTTCGGCGGGCTGCCCGGAAGGGAAGAGATTCGGAGGTTGTTGGCGAGGAGAGGCAGCGGGGATGCGGGGAACCAAACAGAGCTACTACAGCAGCAGAGGGAGGAGAAAGAGGGAGCGGTGGATTCATGGCCTGAGCTGAGGCTGAGTGACGTTGAGACGGGAGATACCGGCAGAGAGGGCATGGTGGAGATTAAGGTAAGTTGGCTCTCTGCACAATCGCTTTCCCCTCTTCTTTTCTGTGTGTTTTCTTTCGTTTTCGCCTTTGTTTTAGCGTTCACCCCTCCCCCACTCGCTTGTTTCACGACTTCTCTCATTCTCGCTTTGTCATTCTCTCTTCCCCCTCCCTCCTCCCTCCTCCTCTGCTGCTCTCTCGTGTGTGTTCCTCCGTCATGCATCTCCCCTCTTTTTTCCCCGTGCACCATCCAACCAACCAACCGTCTCCCCTCTTGTAGGTGTCAGTGCGACCATGCAGGAACGGCATTTCGAATGAACCCGCGGGCACCGTCAAGCATCTTCCCCTTTCCTTCCCCGTGCACCAACCCACCAACCCACCAACCCACCAACGCAGGTATCGCTGCGACCATGCAGGAACGGCATTTCGAATGAACCCGCGGGCACCGTCAAGCATCTTCCCCTTTCCTTCCCCGTGCACCAACCCACCAACCCACCAACCCACCAACGCAGGTATCGCTGCGGCCATGCAGGAACGGCATTTCGAATGAACCCGCAGGCACCATCAGGCTGTGGGTGCGAGACGAGCTTGCAATGACAGTTGCCAGCAGCGGGAGCTTGGACCTGGTGAGTTGCCACCGGACTACACTCCACCAAACCCCTTCCAGACGATGTTTTCTCTCAGACCCGCCGCCTGAGAGCAGCACCAAGCACCCATCCGGCATACAAAGATTCCCTTTGGGTTTTGGTGTCTTCCCCGCCTTTCTCTCTTCCCCCTCCCTCTTCCACCATCCGTGAAGCTGATTAGCTTCCCTCCTCCGCCTTTCTTTCCTCTCGTATGCACCCCTCTTCCGCCAGACCTCCGCCGAGTCCTGCAGCGTGAGAGCACTAGAAACGGCCTGCATGGGCTTTAATGAACCAGCCTCCCCGTCTCCCACCTTCACCTCTCCTCTCCCCGTTCCGCCAGACCTCCGCCGAGTCCTGCAGCGTGAGAGCCCTAGAAACGGCCTGCCTGGGCTTTAGTGAAGCGACCTTCCCCTTCCCGTTCTTCCCCTCTCCCCTCTCCTCTCCCCCCTCTCCTCTCTCCTCTCCCCCCTCTCCTCTCTCCCCCCTTCCGCCAGACCTCCGCCGAGTCCTGCAGCGTAAGAGCCCTAGAAACGGCCTGCTTGGGCGGCTTGCGGCCGTCAGCAGGCGTGGCAGCCATCATGCGCGCCCACCCCGCCTCCGCGCTCTCCGCCCTCCCCCACTCCACCGCTGTGTACCTCGAGCGGGGGGCAGCTGCGCCTGGGGGGCACACGTGCGGGGGGTGCAGGGGAAACTCACTGAGGGACTGCACTGTCAGGACTCTTGCCTGGAGATACCTAAGCGCTGGAACCCCCTCTGCTTCCACTGATTTCTCCTCTTCTTCCTCTCCTCCTCCTCCTTCTTCCTCCGCTTATTCCTCTTCCTCTTTCTCCTCCTCCTCTTCCTCTGCCGGCTCTTCCTCATCGGACTCCTCCCCAGCGTCCGATTTCACGATCGCTGCGTATGAGCCGTCGGATGCAGAGTACGTGGCGTCCACGTTTCACCCCCTCCGTGCACCTAGAATGCTCCCTGTTACCGCCCTCCGCCTCGCCTTCTGCTCCCATCCCTCCTTGCCTCCTGCTGCTGCTGCCTCTCCTCCTGCGGCTCTCCCCCTTGCTGTTGCATTGGAGGGAGGGTCTGCTGAAACTTCACCTGAAACTTCGTCTGAATCTTCATCTGTAGCTCCGGGTGAAACTTCACCCGAGTCTTCTTCTCCTGCTGAAACTTCACCCGAGCCTTCCTCTGCCGCTGAAACTTCACCTGCCGCTGCGGAGTCAAGAGCAGGAGAGGGGAAGGATGCAAGCTTGGGGATTGAGGAGGAAAGAGGCGAGGAGGGAATTGGGGGAGGGGTGGAAAGGAGGCTTATGAGTGTGATGAGACGAGGGAGACGACTGCTGGGTGATGGGGAGAGTGTTGGTGGGGAGGGTAGTGGAGAGGAGGGTAAGGGAGAGGAGAGTGGGGCTGTGGAGAGTGGTGAGAGCGCAGCGAGTGAAGGGGAAGGCAGCAGCGCAAGCACACGTGTAAGTGATGGCAGCCCGAGTGGTGGTAGCAGCACAGAAAGCAGCACAGAGGGCAGCGCAGAGAGCAGTAAGGGCGAAGCAGAGAGCACAAGCTGGGAAGCAGTACAAGCGGAAATGGCTCTGAGCATGCTGAAGGCGCGGGAGGAGAGTGGCGAGGAGAAGAGCAGCACAGAGAGCAGTAGGGACGACTCAGAGAGCGCAGAGGAACAGAGCACAGAGGCAGTGCAGACGGAAATGGCTCTTAGCATGCTGAAAGGGCGCGAGAAGAGCGGCGAAGGGGAGGGCGGCGAGGGGGGGGGCGGCAAGGGGGGGAGTGGTGCTCTGAGCGCGGAGGCACCGAGTGCAGAAGCAGAGAGCACAGAAGCGGTGACTGCAGAAGCAGTGAGTGCGGAGGCCCTGAGCGCGGAAGCAGTGCAAGCAGAAATGGTGATGGGGATGCTCAAGGGGCGCGTGGAGAGCGGCGAGTGGAGCTGCTTGCAGCTGCAGGTGGCGGAGGCGTGGGTGGTGTCGGCAGCAGCGGCGCTCATCCACACTCGCGCGTCTCTCGAGGCCCGATTCCTCCGAGCCCAGGCTACTGCCGGCACTGCCCGGGGGATCCTAGGGTTGGGGGAAAAGGGGAGGGCTGGGGAGAGGAGGCTGGGGGAGAGGGGGAGCGGAGGTGGAGGGGAGGGGAGTGGAGGTGGAGAGGAGGTGAGCGGAGAGGCAGGAGGAGTGGTTGCGCTTGCGAGTGCGAATGTGGCGGGGTTGGTCCCGTTCAAGGTGCATCCGAGTGTGTGTGACTCGCGAGCCCCCACGCCCTTTGTCAACCGCCGCTACCTGCAGCAACTCCTCGTGGATGGTGAGCGGAGAGTTATGGGAGGGTGATGGGTGGGGTTTGGATGGGTGGGGATTGGTGGGTGGATGGGTGGGTAAGTATGGAATGACGGCCCCAACCCCTTTCCCCTCATTCCTCGCCCAATGTTCCCTTGTTCTCTCGCTCACCTCCTGTACGCGTTACAGAGCAGCTCAAGCTGGAGTACTGGTTGATAAAAAGCCATTGCTATTCTCCTCTTGTGCCCATCCCATTACAGAGCAACTCAAGACAGTGTATTGCTTTGTGCCCAAGGCGGGATGCACGGGGTGGAAGGTGTGGTTCCGGCAGCAGCAAAACCGCCCCAACGCTACAGATGCGTGGATAGCCCACGACCCAAAGCACTCGGGGCTGAAGCTGCTGGCATTTGACATGCAGGAGAGAGAGGTATGTGGAGGGGTCAAGAGTGGTGCCAAAGATATGCAGTAGCAGCAGCAGCACCACCACCACTGCCCCATCGCTATTGACGCGTGGATCGCACACGACCCAAAGCACTCGGGGCTGAAGCTGCTGGCATTTGACATGGAGGAGAGAGAGGTATGTGAATGGGAGTGGGAGGTGAGTGTATGGAGGTGACAGGTGTGGTGTCCCTTGAAACCGCTTGAAACCTGTCCCTTTTACCCTCCGCATCCCTCCCTCTTCATGTGATCCGGTTCCTGACGCGCCCCGACTATTTCAAGTTCTCGTTCGTGCGTAACCCGTACACGCGGTTACCATCCGCCTACCTCAACAAGCACGTGGGAGGGGGCCCTCCTCACGACCACGAGTACTGGAACTCCCGCTTCTTCCACAACATCGCTCCGTACTGGCAGCTGCTGGGTCTGACTTGTTTGACTTTCTTGACCCCCTTCAACCTGCCCCCTTGCCCACCCTTCCCCCTCTTCCCCCCTCCCTCCCTCCTTCAGGTGATCCAGTTTCTGACCCGCCCCGACTACTTCAAGTTCACGTTCGTGCGTAACCCGTACACGCGGTTACCATCGGCGTACCTGAACAAGCACGTGGGGGGAGGTCCTCCTCACGACCGCGAGTACTGGAACTCCCGCTTCTTCCACAACATTGCTCCGTACCGCCAGCTGCTGGACCGCAACAATGGTTCTGACTTGTTTGACTTTCCTGACTTTGTGGAGCTGACGTGGCACATGGAGAAGAGCAGGCGGAGCATCATGGACGCTCATATCATGCCAGAGGTAGGCGCTGGGTTGGGAGTGGTTGACTGGGTTGACTTGCTTGACTATGTGGAGCTGATGTGGCACATGGAGAGGAGCAAGAATGGCCGAGTGGGTTGTTTTGAAAAGTATGAGCATGCCGTGCCATTAGATACGATTATGTGAATTACTCTAAATCACCCCGTTTTCTCCCAATGCAGGCTGATGTGTGTGAGCTGCATCGGATTAAGTATGACTATGTGGGCCGGTTTGAGAACTACGAGCATGACGTGGCAGAGGTCTTGAGCCGGTTCGGCAAGGATGCGAATGATGCGTTCAGCATAGGTCGGGGAGTACACCCGACGGACACTTCCGACAAAACCGTTAAACTGTATAACAAGGTACGTCTATATGAATCGTATCTTCCTTCCCCCCTCTCTTTTCCGTCTCCCTGGGTTTTGAGGTATTGCTCGTTTGTTCTCTTTGTTGCACCCCTCATAGCCATCCTTTCCAATTTAACCATGTTTGCCACACGAGCAATTAATGGAGGCATTCATTATGTGTATGTGTGTGTGTGTGCTTGCATGTGTGTGTGTGTGTGTGTGTGTGTGTATGTGTGTGTGTGCGTGTGTGCATTTGTGTGTGTCCAGAAAGCATTGGATCTTGTTGCAAGCATGTACAAGTCTGATTTGGATGTGCCACTGAACGGAATACATTATGACGTGCCTGCTAATCTGAGGGCTGCATACCTAGACTAGTATTGTTTCCCCTCAAGCAATTTTGAGGGAAGCAATTAGAATTTTAGGGAGGACACATGTAGAAGCTGTACAAAAATTGTTTACTATACGTGCATGTTAGTTGTTTACTCGTTTGTTACTGAGGAGTCAAGCCATTATGGATTCGATATCAGCGAGCTCTGTTTTGGTCGGTTGAGTGTCGGCGGGTCAACTGCTCGCCAACAGAGCAATTTATCTGCCAAAACAAGTAGATAACCGGGTTTTCTGTACAATATGTATATTGATTTAATTACTGCAACCCTAGTTAGCACTCGAACTGCCTGCCCGAAACTATTCTACAACGTTTGCCCGAACGAAACATGAAGGTACTTTCTGTGCCTGCACTGTTGTCTCGAACCTCCTCGCCGTGTCTTCTGTTGCGTGGGAGGACTTCATGGGTGTTTTCCACGGTACAGTACAGTTCTTACCTCTGCGCATTTCCCTTCTGGCTGCCCAATTGGGAACATCCACTCCACTCATTGAGTCTGACGCGACGCGTTTCTCCAATTGGCTGCTTGGCCCCTCTGGGATCGTTGTATGGGCAGCATATATTGTCCTACATTCCTTTCACGCGCTTTTGCTCCCCCCTCCTTCCCCACACCTCTCAATTCTCCCGCAGCGGGAGCATGCGCTGCTCACATCACTCCCCCCGCTCCCCCTTCCCCCATCAACTGCCGCTATCTGCTTCTCGTAATTCCGTTCCGCAAACCTTTTCTCGTTCCCCCAACTAAAACCCCTCCCCGCATTTTGTGCGCCCATCGCTTCGAAATTTACCTGAACCATTTTGAGACCTTTCCGAGAATCTCGGTATCTCCAACCCTGTACAATATCCCCAAACATTCTGCATTCCGTAGGCCCTCCCAAAGCCTTGCGCAGTTCTCCCCGTCTCCCCTCAGCCTTCCGCCGATCCCTTCCCCTGGTCCCTTTCTTCCTCGAGTCTCTTGTGTGGTCTCTTCTCTTCCTCCGCGGAGCATCGTCCCGGTAATGGCAGCTTGAACGAGGAGCAAGGCTTGTCCCAATCCCAACGACAGAGACTTGCATTCTGCTTCGTCCTGCTTCTGCACCCACACTAGTCCAGCGCAGCCATGGGCATGGCTTGTGGGCTCGACTTCCCAACATGGCAATTGCGCTGCCTCCAGCCATGGCATTTTCTGGCGAGCCACACTTGGCATTTTGAGTCGTTGTCGTTCCATTCTTGAGTCCCAGCGACCTTGCGAGCAGCGCGTAGAGAAAATTCGAGTACGTGTATGTACAGTGTCACCTGTTTCGGTCCATAAAATTCCTCAACTCTATTGAGCACGCTCATTGGTTACTCTCGGTATTTATGAGCCGCCATAGGCAATGGTCAGCGTTCCATGGCCAGATTCAAACCTGACTGCACTACTTAGGTAGCGACATCTCCATGGCGTAGAATATTTACGCGCCGCGCCTCTCATCTCTCCTCGTAAGCGCAAGTTCGTCTACGGCCTAGCACAAATTAATAAACTTCACGACGTTCTAGCAGCACAGCGGATACAGCACCTCCGCCGGTGATAGCACCACTGCGATTAGCACCACTGCGATTAGCACCACTGCGATTAGCACCACTGCGATTAGCACCACTGCGATTAGCTCCATGTCGGTAATCCCGATGTCGCCATCGCAGCCGGCCGTTTCCGCTGCCATGACACTGGCGGCGAAACCGGTAGCCAGCGCTGCGCCGTTAACAGCGAAATCGGTGACGTCGCTGGCGGCGGATGTGGTGGTTGACGTGTGGAAGGCGGATTGGTACGTCGCGCACTGCTACAAGATCCCCGCTATGGCGCAACTCAACCTCGTGCTCTCGCAAGTAATTTTGAGCTAAGTGAAAGTAGTCATAGAAGGGTTTTTTACTCTGTGCAGGACAAAATCAGCCGTTTTGCGCGACAAAAGCGGGAGAAGCATCACAGAGATACACCTAATAATCTGGGAGGTTCGTGGGTGATGGTGGTACGCGTCGCACTGTTACAAAATCCCCGCCATGGCGCAGCGCAACCTCACGTCCCCCGCCTCCGCTCCCTTTCGCTGCTCCCCGCTCCTCCGCACCCTCCCCCCTTCTTCCCCCCCCCCCCACGTGGCGCAAGCGCTGACGCGGAGCGACATATCTCTCCCCAACCGTAGCCCCGCTATTTCTTGTGGCGCCTCTAAAGCCGTTCCTCCGCTCCCTCCTCCCCCTTCCCGCTCCCCCCTTCCAGGTGGCGCAAGCGCCGACGCGGAGCGACATATCTCTCCCCAGCTGCGGCCCCGCGGACCTGAAGCGCTTCCACCGCGACCTGGCGGAGTTAATCTCCTCGTCGGAATTCGCGGGGAAGCAGCTCAACGTGTTTCTGCACGCCGTCCACTCCACCGCCTCGGGCCTCCAGAAAGACATCTCGAAGCGCCTCGCGAACGAGAATTCGTCCGTTTCAAAAAACTCTCGAAGGTGGTTCTCGAGGTTTCCGTCGGGGGGGGACGATTTCGCCGTAGCAGCTGCTGCGTTAGCGACGTCGAATGCCGAGGCGCCTCGGAGAAGGCTAGACGAAACGGTTGTAGGAGCAGCTCTAGCCACCACAGCCGCAGGTGTCGGTTCCGCGGTTTCAGGTGCGACGGCCGGCGGAAGGGAGTCGACGGACGTCAGGGGTCACGATAATGGTAACGGTAACGGAGACGGGAAGAGTAACGTGGCCGCGAGCCAAATTGACCGTACCGCCGTTTCTGCCCGTGATAGCACCACCCACGCAGTCGGAAATGTTAGCAGTAGCGAAGCCACCCGGAATCTTCGTTTGTGGACTGAAGCCAACCGGCAATGCCTTAGCGCTACTTTCTCCTCTGGCGCGGAGCCGCCTAAGTCGCCGACCAAACCTACATTCGCGGCTCGGCTGCGCTCCCGGTCGTTGAGCGGAGTAACTGCGGCGGTGGCGCTGTTCCGCTCTCCCGAGAATGCGGTTCCGCACAGCAAAGACTCCGCCGTTGCGCGGGGAACGGGGGAAGGGGGGGCAGCGCCGGGGGCAGAGTCGGGGGAAGGTGTCATTGCGCGGGAACGGGCAGAAGCGGGGGCAGATGGGGTGACTATAGCTGGAGATGTTGCAAGAAACGAGGTCCGCGGCTCCGGTCCCTTCTCGTTCCGCCTTGCCCCGCCTTCCGCGCTTGCAGTGGGGGAGGCGGAAGGAGACGAGGAGAGGGGGTTGAGGGGAGGAAGGGAAGCGATGGGAGCGGCAGCTCTCCGCGGGTTCTTGCTGTGCGGGCGCGGAATGCGGAGTGACAGCGAATCAGGAGCCAGCAGCAGTTGCGCCGAGGGGGAAACAGCCGGGGGCGAGGGGGGTCGGGAGGAGGGGGAAATTTCCTCTCGGGAGGGGCTCGATTTGGAAGGGGAAGGCGAAGAGGGGGCAGGGAGGAAGGCGGCAGGAAGATTCGCGGAAAGGGAGCGTGCGGAGGAGGTGGGAGGGAAACGCGGAAAAGAAGGGGCGGAGAGGCATGGGGTCGAGGAATCAAATATTGACGAGGAAATCCAATCAGATACCAATATTTTTCGAGAAGTGAGAACAGACAGTATTGCTTTCCGCCATGACCGCGCCAGCGTGTCCATGCCACGTGCCGCCACGTCAGCAGAGGCGTTCTTTCCATCGTCCACGTCAGTAGCCGTCCCTGCCACGTCACTAGAAAGAAGCGGGGCCGGGGCCGGGGGCGGGGGCGTGGGAGGTAGAGCAGGGGATGTGTATGGTCCGCGCTTAACTAAAAGTCGGTCAGTAGCGGTGGAACGTAACCGTCACAGTTACAGCAGCGGCAGCATCAGCAGGGGAGAGGGGGGAAGGAGAGGGGGACGGGGGAAGGCGGAAGGCGGAGGGGAAGCGGGCGGGGGCGGGGAGGGCGGAAAAAAGGCGGGAAAACCGCCCGCCAAGAGCAGCCACGAACGGTTACAGGAGATTCTAAAGAATGTGACTATAGGGGGGACTAGAGGAGGACCGTTGCAGATGGCGCGGGCTATAGCGAGGGGGGGAGTGGGGGGGAGCTTTGGAGGGAGCGGACCAGGGGGGCCGGGGGGAGGTTCGGCATCTGCGGGGGGAATGGGGAGTCCGCGCGTGTGGGAGGGAATGGACGGCCAGGATGGCATCTCGAGATTCCACAGGGGAATGTCGGTGGCGGAAAGTGGGGAGAGGGGGAAAGGTGCGGGAGGTGGGGTAGGGGGGAGCGGAGGGGGAGCTAGGCGTTTTATGCCCACGTCTCTGTCTGTAGTCTCCCAGAGGGGGGGAGAGTGGGGGGAGGAGGAGATGGGGGAGGGGTGGGCGGAAGGGGAAGCGGAGCAGGGGGGAGAGGGGGGTAGCGTTGGAGCAAGCGGCAGTAGCAACAGCCAATCACCTCACCCTCTTTTGTCTCCCACTACTGAGTTTCAACCCCCTAATGGTGCTCCTGTGT